CCAAACAACAAAACCCAGTCTCAGGGACTTTTCCTGTCCAGGCTGGCTTTGAACCGCGATCCTCAGGTCTCAGCCTCCTGAGGAGCTGGGATGGCAGGTGTCAGCACCGGTGCCCGGCTCAGTACACTACGTCCTCCGTCGGCCTCCACTGCATGCTTTCATTTTTCCTAGTTCGATTTGCATATTGCTAGAACGTTCTGAGTAAAAACCAAGGGAGAAATCTAAAAATGTCTCTGAGAAATCAGAGATCAGAAAATACAGTTGGAAGCAAAATATTTTTATAGCCGAGGGGGGGGGGGGAGAGGGAGGGAGGGAGGGAGGAAAAGAGGGAGAGAGGGAAGGAGGGAGGGAGGGAGGGAAGGAGGGAGGGAGGGAGGTAGGGATGACTGACAGGAAGAGAGAGAAAGCCAAATGTGCAAAGTCCACCCCTAGCTCTGAGCTGGTGGCTCACACCTGTAGTCCCAGCTACTCAAGAGACTGAGATCTGAGGATCACAGTTCAAAGCCAGCCCACGAGGGGGCGGGGGAGGAGAGCTTTTTCACTCCAGTTTGGCGCTCTACCACTTGAGCCACAGCTCCACTTCTGCCTTTTTAGTGACTAATTAAGAGATCAGAGGCTCCTGGACTTTCCTGCCCGGGCTGGCTTTGAACCCCTGATCCTCAGACCTCTGCCTCCTGAGTGGCTGGGATGACAGGCGGGAGCCACCGATGCCCAGGTCCGAACACTGCTCTTCACAGCTTACTTTTTGTGCTGACCAGGAAGTTAACGAGGAGATCAGAATGCATTAGCAAAGTGACTTCTACTTCCAGCCCCCCCTTCCCGTTCCCCTCCCTCCAGCACCATTTCTGCCGGCCCCCCCATTTCCATCCTCCCTCTGGGAGCCCCTGGGTTCTGGCCCTCTCGAATACAGAGGAGGAAGCAGAGCGCCGGCGCTCACGACTGTTATCCCAGCTACTCAAGAGGCTGAGACCTGAGGATCGCGGTTCGAGGCCAGCCCCAGGGCAGAACAGGAGTCTGGGAGACGCTGATTGCCAATGAACCAGCAAAAAGCCGGAAGTGGAGCTGTGGCTCAAGTGGTCGAGCACCATCCTTGACCCAAAAACAAAAAAAAGCTCAGGATCAGTGCTTAGGTGCTGAGTTCAAGTCCTGGGAGACACACACACACTCACACGCACACACACACGTCTTACAACCTCTTTTTTTCCTGAATATAGACACTATTTTTGTTTGGTTCCTTTGCACGTAGCTCCTTTTGTCCTTCCGGTTACAGCCCAGGAGGGAACAGACAATAAACCCACCCGAGTCTGTGGCTCTCATCTGAGGAACCATGATGAAGATGGCCACCCGGCAGGAGGAGCTGGCTGTGGGCTTTCCTTGTCTTAGGCCCGGTAGAAAGATCTAGAATGATCTACATGATTCCCTCAGCCGGCAACCTCACTACCCACTCGTGACGGAGATGGAGAGGGGGAAACGTCCAAACTTGGAACATGCTTACAAACCCAAAGATCAACCCTTGGTATTCTGCTCTTGGAATAGGTCTTAGTAAGGGAGGGCATGCCTTTAGTCCAGGCCTCCCAGCTCCGATGCCACAAAGACCAACGCACAGGGCACTGCTCCATCCCCCACACATGGACAGACACGAAGAGCCGGAGGCTGAGATGGGAAGGTCCCGGTTCAAAGGCAGCCCAGGCAGGAAACACAACCTGGGAGACTTTGACTTCCTGGGAGTCAGCTGCATCCTTGGAAATTCATCAGTGTGTGTGTGTGTGTGTGTGTGTGTGTGTGTGCACGTGCCAGGCCCAGGGCTTGAACTCAGGGCCTGGACGCTCTCTCCCTGAGCTGCTGGTCTGCTCCAGGCTGGCCACTCTATCACCTGAGCCACTGTTCCACTCTGGCTTTTTGGTGGCTCATCCCAGATAACGCTCCTGTGGGCTTTCCTGCCTGGCCTGGAGCCTCCTGCTGAGTAGCTGGGACTACAGGCGTGCGGGCGTGGCTCGGCTGCTGTTTGAGATTCGCTCCCCCAGGGCACAGGCGGGAGGGAGCGCCCCCCCGCCCCTCCTCCTCTGTTCCATTGTGTGTGAAGCTGTGACTTCATCCTGGAGCCCCTGGAGGGCTGAGGCTCAGGGCAGAAGGTTCTAGGCGCTGTCTCGGGTGCTCATGGCGGTGGCTGCGCGGGGGTTCAGTCTGGTGCCTCACGGCGTCCCGTGGCTCTACGCCCTGCTGGCCTTGCTCTTCATCTTCTTTATCCTCGTTATGTTCTCCCCGTTCCGGCTGGACAGAGACCAGCGGAGGAGGAGCCGTGAGTGTGGGCAGCCTGGGGGACGGGGTACAGCGGGGGGGAGGGGGGGGGGGGCAGCGTCTCCAAGAGCCGGGGACCCAGGGCCCAGAAAGAGCTCAGCAAAGTCGCCATCTTTGGGGTGTAGGTTGCTGTGCTGGGGTGGGGACTCGAACTCAGAGCCTGGCTCGTGCTTGCTTGGCTTTCTGTCTCTGTCAAGGTTGGTGCTGGACAGCTGGAGCCACACCTCCACCTTCTGGCCTCTGTTTTTGGCTGGTTAGCGGGAGATGAGCCTGGTGGAACCTGTCCCGGCTGGCTTCCAGCGAGGGATGGGCCGAGATTACAGGCGGGAGCTACCAGCCGCGGCCGGCATCATCTCAGAGGGGGTGGGAGGGTCTGGAGGTTGGATATCCGCAGGGGGTGGAGGGGTCTTTGCTCCACCGGGTAGTGTCCTAAGAAGGGGATGAGCAGCTGGGAATGTTGGGTAAGTCACCGCTGCCTGTCACCTGGGGTTCTTGGTGACCCTTCACCTGGTCTGGTACTTGTTGCTAGGTTGCTGGGAGGTCACTAGGCAGAAAATGCCAGAAGTGGCGCCGTGGCTCAAGGGGTAGAGCGCCAGCCTTGAGCTGAAGAGCTGAGGGACAGCGCCCAGGCCCTGAGTTCAAGACCCAGGACTAACTAATTAATTAGTTAATTAAATCACTTTATTTTGTGTGTAGACATCATCTCAGCTTTGTGCTGGACATTTTGGCAGGGTTGCTATTATCCTGTGTGCTTTCTCTCTGTCTCTGTCTCGTGTGTGTGTGTGTGTGTGTGTGTGTGTGTGTGTGTGTGTGTGTGTGTGCAGTTACTGAGACTTGAACTCAGGACCTGGGTGCTGTCCCTTACCATTTTTGTTCAAGGCTGGTGCTCTACCACTTGATCTGCAGCTCCACTTCCTGTTTTCTGGTGGCTCATGGAGATGAGTCTCATGGACTTTCCTGACTGGGTTGGCCTCGAACCAGGATCCTCAGATCTCAGCCTCCTGAGTAGGGTCAAGGAGGATGAAGAGGCCAAATAAACAGAGAGAGGAAGGCTGGGTGAACGCAGTCAGACCAGTCAATGTCCATTCATGAACATGCAGGGCCAAGGCTCTGAATTCAAGTTCCAAGACCAGTGCGTGTACGTGCACACACACACACACACACACACACACACACACGCATGCACACATCCAATTCAAACGGACAGTCCTTTTTTAAGTGTTTATTTGTCCCTAATTGTTCACCATCATTCGAGAAAATCCAGTGATTTTTCTTTTTCTTTTGTCAGTCCTGGGTCTTGAACTCAGGGACTGGGCGCTGTCCCTCAGCTCTTCAGCTCAAGGCTGGCGCTCTACCCCTTAAGCCAGGGCACCATTTCTGATTCTGGTGGTTCATGGGAGATCAGAGTCTCACAGACTTTCCCACCAGGCTGGCTTTGAACCGGGATCCTCCCATCTCAGCCTCCTGAGTGGCTGGGATTACAGGCGTGAGCACTGGCACCTGGCCAGTGATTTTTGTTATGGCGTTAGGGATTGAATTCAGGGGTTTGATGGCTGAGCTACAGGAATCTCGGCCTTTGCTCTTTCTTGAAGGTCAGCGTTGGCTTGTACTGTGACAGCTCGGCTCTGACATCACAGAGGCCGAGGGGGAGGGGGAGACACCCTAGATTCTCTGTGGCCCCTGTATCATCAAAGCTGTCCATGCTCTGCCTCAGTTTCTCTCTCATAACTCATCCAAAGGTTTGCCACCTTGTTTTAAAATAAGAAAACCAGATGTGAAATGGCTTCCCAGCCCGGTCTTGGCAGCTCCCGCCTGTCACCCCAGTGACTCGGGAGGAGGCTGAGATCTGAGGATCACGGTTCAAAGCCAGCCAGGGCAGGAAAGTCCGTGAGACTCTGATCTCCCATGAACCAGCAAAAAGCCGGAAGTGGAGCTGTGGCTCAAGTGGTAGAGCGCCCACCTTGAGTGGAAATAGCTCACACACACACACACACACACACACACACACACACACACACACACACACACACTGTCCTCTTGTGTTTCAGATTGTCATCTTCCGTCCCCTGGGAGTGAAACTTCCAGAAGGGAGGGGACGGAGACTGGGGAGGAGACCCCGGTTGCTCTGGCGGTGATGGCAGAGGGCGGCCAGGGCGTGTGTCCCGTCACGCCCGTGTGAACCGGGCCGGCGCGTGGCTGCCAGGTCGGAGACAGGTGGGAAAGAAAGGCCGGGAAGCAGCCTCCTCGCGCATGCTCAGATGAACCCCACAATAAAGCTTTGCACTCTTTTAACCACAGGGCCGTGGGGTTTTGTGGTGGTGGTTTTTGGCGTGGAGGTGTCTGTTTGGTTTTGTCGTTGGTGGTGGGACTTGAACTCAGGGCCTGGGCGCTGTCCCTCAGCTCTTCAGCTCAAGGCAGGCGCTCTACCACTTGAACCACAGCACCACTTCTGGTTTTCTGGTGGTTCATGGGAGATCAGAGTCTCAGGGACTTTCCTGCCCGGGCTGGCCTTGAACCTCGATCCTCCAATCTCAGCCTCCTGAGTGGCTGGGATGACAGGCGGGAGCCACAGGCGCCGGCAGCAATCTGAATTCTTCAAAGCAAGAATGAAGAGTCAAGGCAAACTCAAGTTAGTAATCAACGTTTGGTTTTATTTGGCCGCTTGGAACATCTTACACAAACTGTTAAGTTATCCTGTCCCTCCACGGTGTGTCCGTGTGTCTGTCGGGCTTGGACACAGGACCTTGGTTGGCCGGGAATGAGCTGGGTTTTCTTGGTTTTCTTGGTTTCTTACAGGCCACACTAAAGCCACAAACAGAAAAACAATGGAGTTTTTTCTTTGCACATGCGCACACGAAATAATTCCTACAAATCTAATGGACACAGACTCATGAGAGAGAAAAATATAGACTTTCTAGCTGGGCACCAGTGGCTCCCGCCTGTCATCCCAGCCACTCAGGAGGCTGAGATCTGAGGATCGCAGTTCAAAGCCAGCCTGGTCAGGAAAGTCTGTGAGACTCTGATATCCCATAAACCACCAGAAAACCGGAAGTGGCGCTGTGGCTCAAGGGGTAGAGCGCCCGCCTTGAGCTGAAGAGCTCAGGGACAGCGCCCAGACCCAGAGTTCAAGCTTCACGACCGACAAATAAAAAGATATAAAATACAAACCCCAAATGTGGCAGGTAAGAGTTCTAGGTAATGCAGGATCATCGTTCTAGACCATTCATGATAACGTTCTAGGTCATGCATGATTAGCGGTCTAGCTGAACCTGGGCAAGAATCCCATTGTCTCCTCACTGTGCTCACATGTGGCAGATACGGGTTCTAGGCAACTCATGCTTAGAGTTCTAGGCAATACACGTAGGGTTTGATAGTTCCAGACAACCCATGCTAGAGTTCTAGGTAATCCATGCTAGCATTCCGGGGACCGGTTCTAGGTACTCCATGATAGAGTCCAGGTCACCAGAATTCTAGATCGAGTTCTAGGTGATCACACCACAGAGTTCTGGGTAACTCATGACTTAGTTCTCCTGTCACGCATGAGGTCTAGGTAGTACATGAGTTCTAGGTAGTGCATCGTAGGGGTCTCGGAGACTCATTATGCATGATACAGTGCTAGCTTGACCTTGCCAAGAAGCCCACCATCTCCTCAGCTGTTCTTAAACCATATACCCCAAGGGTGGCAGAGAAGAGCTCTAGATAACTCATATCGTGTTCTAGGTAACCCATGGTAAGAGTTCAGGTACCTAGAGTTCTAGGTAGAGTTCTAGGTCTGGCACAGTAGAACTCCCCATAGCTCAGCACTCAGTCCTGAGTAATGCATGAGTTCCAGGACATGCAGGGTAGAGTTCTAGGTGACTCACGAGCCAGTTCTAGATCACATTCTAGATCATTCATGATAGAGTTCTAGGTGATGCAGGCGTGCCTGGTAGAGTTCCAGATAAAGGTCTAGGCAACACAGGACAGAGTTGTAGGTAATGCAGGCAGTGCGGGGGACAGCGGTGCAGAGAAAGTTCTAGATCACTCTAGATTACTCTAGATCACTCTGGCTTGAGCTCTAGGTAATGCCTTTTCCCCCCATTTTTTAAAAATCATCAAGGTGATGTAGACGGGTTCAGTTACATTAGTGAGAAATGAGTAGGTCTCTTGTCAAACTTGTTACCCCCTCCCTCATTTTTCTCCTACTTTCCCTCCCCCCCCCCCCGAAAGTGTTTCTGTGTGGCTCTGTTTTCGTTCTGGCAGGATTTTGAGGTGCAGCTGCACTTTCTGCCCAGCCCAGAATGCACTACAATCCTCCTGTTTCTTCTTCCCAGTGTTGGAAGTGGAGCCATGGCTCCAGTGTTAGAGCACCTGCTCTGAATGACCAGCTAAAGGAGTGTCTCTGGCTTGAGTTCAAGCCCCAGTATACACACACACACACACACACACACACACACACACACACACACACACGTCCATGTATTCTTCCCATATAACTGAAACAATAGACAGGAACTACTATGCCCGGCTCATCTTGTAGAGATGGAGCCTCATGAGCTTTATGGCCTGGGCTGTCCTTGATCTGTCTTCTCCCGATCTCCACATCCTGAGGAGCAGGGTTACAGGCTTGAGCTACCACGCCAATGTAGTACTTCTGGATTTTAACGACTTGGGACACTATTTGTCATCCTTAACACATAATAATAATTATTATTATTGTAAGAATACTTTTAACACTAAAACAATTTTTCTAATCAGTCGTGGGGCTTGAACTCAGGCTTGAGCTCTTTTGCTCAAGGCTGATGCTCTACCACTTTAGCTACTGCTCCGCTTTCTGTTTTGTTTTGTTGTCCTTTGTTTTTGCTGGTTTATTGGAGATCAGAGTCTCACGGACTTTCCAGCCTGGGCTGGCTTCGAACCTGGATCCTCAGATCTCAGCCTCCTGAGCAGCTGGGATCAAAGTCAGAGCCTGAGCACCTGGCCATGTTGTATAATTTACGTATATACAGTAAGAAAAGAGGAAAAGAGAGAATAGAATCAATAAAAACCTGTCATCCCAGCTACTCAGGAGGCTGAGATTGGAGGATTGTGGTTCAAGGCCAGCCAGGCAGGAAAGGCCATGAGACTCTGATCTCCAATAAACCACAAGAAAATCGGAAGTGGTGCTGTGGTTCAAGTGGTAGAGCACCAGGCTTGAGCTGAAGAGCTGAGGGACAGCACCCAGGCCCTCAGTTCAAGACCCAGGACTGGCAAATAAATAAAATAAAAATACATACAATAAATTTCATACAATGAAACTTATTCTGAAAAAGAGAAAAAGGAAAATGGAAACAGCCCTTAGGATGGGCTTTTCGAAGAGGAATCTCCACCTTAATTAAATGAGCTTCTACTGCATGACGGTTTGGGGCTCCCTTCAGAAATAACTACAGAGCCCGAGGCTGGTGGCTCATGCCTGTCATCCTCAGGCCTCCAGGAGGCTGAGCTCAGAGGATCACAATCTGAGGCCAGCTCAGGCAGAAAATGCCATCTCCACCAAGAACCAACCCAAAGCAGGACTGGAGGCGTGGTTCGCACGGTAGAGCGCCAGCAAGCAAAGCCAAGCAAACCTCAGTCCCCAGAGTCCAAGCCCCTTCCCCAACAATAAAAGACATAAGCACAGCCCTCGCTAGGCTAGAAAATTCCCCTGGGCTGCTCATGGTTATGCTCTTTGGAGCCCGGTAGTCATTGCTGGTGGACCATGTGTCTGGATCGAGCGCAGGCCAAGGCTGAGCCTGAGAACCAGGATCACCCCACTGACCTAAGGAAATGAGGGCATTCAGGCCATCTGGCTTTGAGCTGGAGTTCATCTGGTATCATATCCGGTGGACGATATTCTGTCCTCTGGAGAAAACTGAAATGCAGATCTGGGGTGGTTACAACACAGAAGACAATCCCACAAGCAACCCCCCACCCCACCCCGAAACCCAATCTTTACCCAGCCTCTTGTTCCCATGTCGTTCTTTGTGTCTCTTAAAATATCATCGACTCAGGAGCTTGAGATCTGAAGATCATAGGTCCAAGCCAGCTCAGATGGGAAAGTTCATGAGACTCTGATCTCCAACGGACTTGTAAAAAGCCACAAGGGGCGCTGTGGCTCAAGTAGTTGAGCGCCAGCCTTGAGCAAAAGCAGCTCAGGGACAGCGCCCAGGCCCTGATTCAAGCCCCTGCAATGCTACAAAAAACAAAACGCCAAACCCTACAGCATGGCTATTTCCCTGTGTGCTAACTTATTTAGCATGATTTTTTTCCTCCACTCATCTGCTGCAGGGCACCTGGCTGTTGGTAGCACTTAGCGTTGGTGAATAGTGCAGCAAGGAACACGGTTGCGTGAGCATCTTTATCATCTTTTGGATAGACGGCCAAACAGGCCATGGCTGCATCACAGGGTAGTTTCTCTGCTTAATTTTTTGTTGTTGGTGGTGGTGGTCTTGGGTCTTGAACTCAGGGCCTGGGCGCTGTCCCTGAGCTTCTTTTACTCAAGGCTGGCGCTCTACCCCTTGAGCCACAGCGCCACTTCCGGCTTTTTTCTTTTTGCTTATGTGGTGCTGAGGAATCGAACCCAGGGCCTCATGCATGCGAGGCGAGCGCTCTGCCACTGAGCCACCTGCCCAGCCCCTGATTTGCTCCTTCTACTCTGAGAAACTGTTCAAATACCTATAGTCTCCAACTTTCTGAATCTCTGCCTGTCTGCCGTCTGTCGGTCCATCTGTCTGTGGCCTGTCCGTCCATCCGTCTGTCTGTCCATGTCAGTCCGTCTGTCCATCTGTTCGTCTGTCCATCTGTCCGTCCATCCGTCGGTCCATCCGTCTGTCCGCTTGTCCATCGTCTGTCCGTCCGTCTGTCCATCTGTCTGTCTGTCTGTCTGTCCGTCCGTCTGTCTCCGCCCCCTTGTTCTGCTGACTCGGGAGAGCGGGCCGACTCTGTGCGGCCGGGTCTGTGCGGCGCGGCATGAAACCGGGAAGGGGGGCGTCCGCTCAGGACCGGCTCCGGCTTCCCCCTCGTCAGCCAGGGGGTGCGTTCCTCAGGGTGTGCGTGCGTGTGCGTGCGTGCGTGCGTGTGCGTGCGTCGGTCCCGGGGCTCCTGCGCGCAGGCCGGCGTCTACCGCGCGGCCCCGGCTCCACTTGCGGCTTCCTGCGGGTCCCGGCACTGTCCCGCCCGGGACCCCGCCCCGCAGCCTCCACGCCCGGCCTACGGTCGCCCTCAGCCCCCGAGCCCCGCCCCGCCCCGCGCCCCGGCAGCGCTGGGGAGCAGGAAAAGGGAGGCTGTCACTCCCAAAGGGAAGACACGTCCAACGGAGAGCTCCGCCCACCTGCCCCGCCCCGGCCACGCCCCCGGAGCCACGCCCCGGCCACGCCCCCGGAGCCACGCCCCCGGAGCCACGCCCCGGCCACGCCCCCCGGAGCCACGCCCCGGCCACGCCCCGGAGCCACGCCCTGGAGCCAGGCCACGCCCCGGCCACGCCCCCAGAGCCACGCCCCGGCCACGGCCCCGGAGCCCCGCCCCCGTCACGCCCCCGGAACCCCCGCCCCGCCCCGGAGCCCCGCCCCGCCCTGGCCACGCCCCCGGAGCCACGCCCCGGTCACGCCCCCGGAGCCACGCCCCGGTCACGCCCCCGGCGCCCCGCCACGCCCCAGCCACGCCCCCGGAGCACCGCCCCGCCCCGGAGCCCCGCCCCGGCCATGCCCCCGGCGCCCCGCCACGCCCCAGCCACGCCCCCGGAGCACCGCCCCGTCCAGGCCACGCCCCCAAGCCCGGCCCCGGCCCGGCCACGCCCCCGGAGCCCCACCCCGCCCCGGAGCCCCGCCCCGGCCACGCCCCGGAGCCCCGCCCCGCCCCCGGAGCCCCGCCCCGGCCACGCCCCCCGGAGCCCCGGCCCGGCCCCCCAGAGCGTCGCCCCGCCCCGGCCACGCCCCCGGGAACCCATCACCTTAAGCCACGCCCCGGAACTTTACCTCTCGTGAGCGCCATACCAGGCCACGCCCCTGGAGCGCTATCCGGACCAGGCCACATCCCCGGAGCTCTATCCCCGCCCAGGCCCCGGCCCCGGGACCCCAGCCCCGCCCCGGCCCCAGCCTGGGGAAATGCCCTCGCTTCTCAGGCTCCGGAGCTCAACCTCAGCCAAGGCCACGTCCCCAGAGCGCTGTCCAAGCCAAGGCCACCCCTCTGCGAGACCTAGTCCCGCCCGGGCCACGCCCCTGCAAGGCCCAGCCTTGTCCAGGCCACGCCCCTCGTTACCCCATCCAAGACCACACCCCCTGCTAGCCCATCCTCCAAAGGTCACGCCTCCTGGGAGCACCATTCCCTCAGGCCACGCCCCTTGCCGGCTCATCCAGACCACGCCCCCGATAGCCCATCCCACTCCAGGCCACGCCCCCGTGAGCTCCATCCCGCCCAGGGGGAGGGGCCTACCTGTCACACCAGCCAATCCCCATCTGACAAATTGTCTGCAGGGAGGCGGGAGGGGGGCGGCGCAGCTCCCCACAGGGTCCCCGGACCCCGGGTCCCCTCTCCCGAGATCAACTGTTACCCCTGCCGTTGCTGACTTGGTTCCTACAGGTGTCCCAGAACCCACCGCGTCTCGCGCCACCCCTGCTTCCTGGGAACCTTCTAGACCCGTCTGCTGACTGAGTGACAGCGTGGCCCCGCCGAGGGAGGGGGATGGGGGGTTTCCGGTCCTGCACTGGGGCTTGAACTCAGGGCCTAGGCGCCGTCCCTGAGCTGTCTATCGTCACGTTATATAATTATACTAATATATATAATGTATGCGATATAATATACATGTTACACATATATAAAAGGTAGACATATCATATGTAATGTAAATACATCTTATATACAAGACATAGTATGCATTATATAATCCATTAATATAATAGTATATAATTTGTATATCTAATTTATACAATCTGAACAATATTTATATAGCATACATTAGATATAATAATGCATAGTATAAATTAATAGATAATGAGTTATATATTATGCATTATATATAATGCATGATTATACGCATATTGTATCATGGTACGTATATTACATATTAATTACATAATATCGATTATAAATCGCCATTTCCACTGTAAACTATGCATCCTCTGATAACAGATTTTCCATCTCCTAGACGGAATATGTGCGTTGCGTCATGATCGCTCTTAGGCTCCACAATTCTGCGCTCCTGACCCTGGCAGCCGTTTCCCCCTCTCCTCCTCCTTCCCCTGGGACGCGTCCCTCTCTGGTTCTTCCCGGGCCTTTCCTAGGTCAGGAGGGCCGCAGACACGCCCGCGCATGCGCATCACTGGGGAGCTGCGCAGGACTCATCCACGCATGCGCATCACTGGGGAGTGGCGCAGGACTCACCCGCGCATGCTCGGCGGGGGGGGGGGCGGGGCGGGGCGCAGGACTCATCCGCGCATGCTCGGCGGGGGGCGCAGGACTCATCTGCGCATGCTCGGGGGGCGGGGCGCAGGACTCATCCGCGCATGCTCGGCGGGGGGGGGGGGGGCGCGCAGGACTCATCCGCGCATGCTCGGCGGGGGGGGGGGGGCGCGCAGGACTCACCGTCGCAGGCCACGCTCGCGTCGTCCTCGTGCTTGCAGCCGGGGGAACGGCACTGCCACACAGGCGGCTCCGCCCCCGACAGCTCAGCCCGGCCAACCGGATGGGCCCGGCCCCTTCCCCGAAGGGAGCGCAGCCCGTGGCGTTGATGGCCCGGCCACAGCCCCCAGCGGCCGTCGCGACGGCTCCCCAGGCGCCCTCCACCCCCTGCCCGCCGCAGCGCCCGCCTCCGGCCACCAGGCGAAGATGCTCATTGGCTGCAGCGACAAAGGGAGCACCAATCAAATGCCTGCTGGAGGCTGGAAGGGAACACCAATGAAATGCCTTCTCGAATGGAAGGAAACACCAATCAAACGCCTTCTCGAGGCTGAAGGGAGCACCAATCAAATGCCTTCTTGAGCTGGCGGGACATAGAGAGCACCAATCAAATGCCGTCTCGAGGCTGGAAGGACAAAGGGAGCACCAATCAAATGCCTTCTCCAGGATTAAGCTCATTTTCCTTAGCCCGCGCCTGGCGTCCCAGCTTCTCAGGAGGCTGAGATCTGAGGATGGTGGTTCGAAGCCAGCCTGGGCAGGAAAGTCTGTGAGACTCTGGTCTCCAGTGAACCAGCAAAAAGGTGGACGCGGGGGCACGGTGGAGCAGGCCGTGAGTTCAAGGCCCAGGACGGACCAAACCAGCCCGCAGCCCGCCAGCAGCCCGCAGCCCGCCAGCAGCCCGCAGCCCGCCAGCAGCCCGCAGCCCGCCGGCCTCTGAAGACCATTCCCCAGCCTGGCCTCCTGCTCGCACCGCTGCAGGGTCCACAGATGGAGAATTGCACCGGGACAAGGCCTGGGAGGCGTTTGCTGCAAACACCAAGCTGCTCAGGCTCAGGAGACACAAGGGACAGAGGGACCTGAACCGGCTCAGCCAGGCAAAGGGCTGCGAGAAGGCGCGGCACACGGGAATATAACGCCTCATAATTATATACTTAACATATATAGGTATATAAGATATATACCTATGGACCTGTATTATAGCACTTACATGGATCTATATATGGACCTATATTATATTATTTTATTGTTATATATGTGTTATACACACACAAACACATATATGGTCAGTCCTGGGGCTTGAACTCAGGGCCTGGGCGCTGTCCCTCAGCTCTTCAGCGCAAAGCGGGCGCTCTACCCCTTGAGCCACAGCGCCACTTCCAGTTTTCTGCTAGTTCATTAGAGATCAGAGTCTCATGGACTTTCCTGCCTGGGCTGGCTTTGAACCCTGATCCTCAGATCTCAGCCTCCTGAGTAGCTGGGATGATGGGCGTGAGCCACCAGCGCCTGGCTAATGTTATGTATTGTTATATATAAACATGTATTAGGTATAATATCTATTAATATAGTTAATCTATACTATTAATGATTATTCATATTCATATATAATATATAGGTAATATATAACACACACACACACACACTAGATACTAAGTCCACTGGTTTCTAGACAAACCATCAGCAATCGCCCAGCCTTACTCCTGAGCCTTTCTTGAGCATAGCTGGTCTAAAGGCTTGTCACCAGGGACTGTGTGTGTGTGTGTGTGTGTGTGTGTGTACGCACGCGCGCGCGAGCGCAGCTACTGGCACAGCACATGGGCATCCTCCATGTCCCAGTGGGAGCCGCACAGGGACCCCCAGACCCTGTGCACGCTGAGCTCCACTCTGCCCTCGCAGGGAGACGGGCCAGACCGCCAGGCGGATTTCCATATATCCTGGGAGGCAACAATGCTCCAATCACAACCACACACTGGGGGGGAGGGGGGGCCGTGGCCAGTGTGTTGGGTGGGGGACAGGGTAGGAAAGCCTCTTTTTTCTTTTTGGTCGGTCGTGGGGCCTGAACTCTGGGCCTGGGCGCTGTCCCTCAGCTCTTCAGCTCCAGGCTGGCGCTCTACCGCTTGAACCACAGCACCACTTCTGACTTTTTCTGCTGATGGGGTGCTGAGGACTCGAACCCAGGGCCTCAGGCATGCAAAGCAAGTGCTCTACCACTGAGCCACCTGCCCAGCCCCTTTCTTTTTATTTGATTGCATTTTATTTTTTTTGGTGCCAGTCCCGGGGCTTGAACTCAGGGCCTGGGCGCTGTCCCTTAGTTTCTTTTCCTTAAGGCTGCTGCTCTACCCCTTGAACCACAGCACCACTTCTGGCTTTTTTGTATGTGGTACTGAGGAATGAGACTCTGATCTCCAAGGGTCCACCAGAAAATCAGAAGTGGTGCTGTGGGGCTGGGAAGTTGGCTCAGTGGTAGAGCACTTGCCTTGCATGCCTGAGGCCCTGGGTTTGATTCCTCAGCACCACATAAGCAAAAGGAAAAAAAAAAGCTGGAAGTGGCGCTGTGGCTCAAGTGGTAGAGCACTAGCCTTGAGCTAAAGAGCTGAGGGACAGCGCTCAGGCCCAGAGTTCAGGCCCCACAACCGGACCCACCCCCCCCCCAAAAAAAAAAAAAGGCTGAGATCTGAAATAAAGGTAGCTCTAAAATCTCAGCCTGAGCAGAAAGTCTGTAAGCTTCCATCTCTTAAATTACCAGTAAAAGTAGAGCTAGAGGTGTTGTTCAAGTGGCAGAATGCCAGCTATGCAAACTTGAGCCCGAGTTCAAATATTAACACTGTCTAAAACAA